GTACTGTCAACTGTCTACTCACAGTACTGGCAACTATTTTTACTGCTAGTACTGTCATCTGTCTACTCACAGAGTACTGTCAATTGTCTACTCACAGTACTCTCAACTATCTCCCCACAGTACTGTCAACTGTCAACTCACACTACTGTAAACTGTCTGTTCACAGTACCGTCAACTGTCTACCCACAATACTGTCAACTGTCTACCCACAGTACTGTCAACTGTCTCCTCGTAGTTCTGTCAACTGTCTATTCACAGTACTGTCAACTGTTTCTACTGCTAGTACTGTCAACTTTCTACTCACAGTACTGTCAACTGTCTACCCACAGTACTGGCAACTGTTTCTACTGCTAGTACTCTCAACTGTTTCTACTGCTAGTACTGCCAACTTTCTATTCACAGTACTGTCAATTGTCTACTCACAGTACTGTCAACTGTCTACTCACAGTACAGTCAACTGTCTACCCACAGTCTTGTCATTTGTTTCTACTGCTAGTACTCTCAACTGTTTCTACTGCTAGTACTGCCAACTTTCTATTCACAGTACTGCCAACTTTCTATTCACAGTACTGTCAACTGTCTACTCACAGTACTGTCAACTGTCTACCCACAGTACTGTCAACTGTCTACTCACAGTACTGTCAACTGTTTCTACTGCTAGTACTGTCAACTTTCTACTCACAGTACTGTCAACTGTCTACCCACAGTACTGGCAACTGTTTCTACTGCTAGTACTCTCAACTGTCTACTCACAGTACTGTCAACTGTCTACCCACAGTACTGTCAATTGTCTACCAACAGTCCTGTCAACTGTCTACTCACAGTATTGTCAACTGTCTTCCCACAGTCTTGTCATTTGTTTCTACTGATAGTACTGTCAACTGTCTACTTAGAATAATGTCAATTGTCTACTCACAGTACTGTCAACTGTCTACTCACAGTGCTGTCAACTGTCCACACACAGTACTCTCAACTGTCTACTCACGGTGCTTTCAACTGTCTACTCACAGTACTGTCAACTGTCTACTCACAGTACTGTCAACTGTCTACTCACAGTCCTGTCAACTGTTTCTTCTGCTAGTACTGTCATCTGTCTACTCACAGAGTACTGTCAATTGTCTACTCACAGTACTCTCAACTGTCTACTCACGTTACTGTCATCTGTCTACTCACAGTACTGGCAACTGTCTACTCACAGTACTGGCAACTATTTTTACTGCTAGTACTGTCATCTGTCTACTCACAGAGTACTGTCAATTGTCTACTCACAGTACTCTCAACTATCTCCCCACAGTACTGTCAACTGTCAACTCACACTACTGTAAACTGTCTGTTCACAGTACCGTCAACTGTCTACCCACAATACTGTCAACTGTCTACCCACAGTACTGTCAACTGTCTCCTCGTAGTTCTGTCAACTGTCTAATCACAGTACTGTCAACTGTTTCTACTGCTAGTACTGTCAACTTTCTACTCACAGTACTGTCAACTGTCTACCCACAGTACTGGCAACTGTTTCTACTGCTAGTACTCTCAACTGTTTCTACTGCTAGTACTGCCAACTTTCTATTCACAGTACTGTCAATTGTCTACTCACAGTACTGTCAACTGTCTACTCACAGTACAGTCAACTGTCTACCCACAGTCTTGTCATTTGTTTCTACTGCTAGTACTCTCAACTGTTTCTACTGCTAGTACTGTCAACTTTCTATTCACAGTACTGTCAATTGTCTACTCACAGTACTGTCAACTGTCTACTCACAGTACTGTCAACTGTCTACCCACAGTACTGTCAACTGTCTACTCACAGTACTGTCAACTGTTTCTACTGCTAGTACTGTCAACTTTCTACTCACAGTACTGTCAACTGTCTACCCACAGTACTGGCAACTGTTTCTACTGCTAGTACTCTCAACTGTCTACTCACAGTACTGTCAACTGTCTACCCACAGTACTGTCAATTGTCTACCCACAGTCCTGTCAACTGTCTACTCACAGTACTGTCAACTGTCTACCCACAGTCTTGTCATTTGTTTCTACTGATAGTACTGTCAACTGTCTACTTAGAATACTGTCAATTGTCTACTCACAGTACTGTCAACTGTCTACTCACGGTGCTTTCAACTGTCTATCCACAGTACTGTCAACTGTCTACCCACAGTACTGTCAACTGTCTACTCACAGTACTGTCAACTGTCTACTCACAGTTCTGTCAACTGTTTCTACTGCTAGTACTGTCATCTGTCTACTCACAGAGTACTGTCAATTGTCTACTCACAGTACTCTCAACTGTCTACTCACGTTACTGTCATCTGTTTACTCACAGTACTGGCAACTGTCTACTCACAGTACTGGCAACTGTTTTTACCGCTAGTACTGTCATCTGTCTACTCACAGAGTACTGTCAATTGTCTACTCACAGTACTCTCAACTGTCTCCCCACAGTACTGTAAACTGTCAACTCACACTACTGTAAACTGTCTGTTCACAGTACCGTCAACTGTCTACCCACAATACTGTCAACTGTCTCCTCGTAGTTCTGTCAACTGTCTATTCACAGTACTGTCAACTGTCTCCTCGTAGTTCTGTCAACTGTCTATTCACAGTACTGTCAACTGTCTACCCACAGTACTGTCAACTGTCTCCTCGTAGTTCTGTCAACTGTCTATTCACAGTACTGTCAACTGTCTACACACAGTACTGTCAACTGTCCACTAGAAGTGCTGCAACTGTTTCTACTGATAGTACTGTCAACTGTCTACCCACAGTACTGTCAACTGTCTACCCACAGCACTGTCAACTGTCCACTAGAAGTGCTGCAACTGTTTCCACTGATAGTACTGTCAACTGTCTACCCACAGTACTGTCAACTGTCCACTAGAAGTGCTGCAACTGTTTCCACTGATAGTACTGTCAACTGTCTACACACAGTACTGTCAACTGTCTACCCACAGTACTGTCAACTGTCCACTAGAAGTGCTGCAACTTTTTCCACTGATAGTACTGTCAACTGTCTACACACAGTACTGTCAACTGTCTACCCACAGTACTGTCAACTGTCCACTAGAAGTGCTGCACATGTTTCCACTGATAGTACTGTCAACTGTCTACACACAGTCCTGTCAACTGTCTACCAACAGTCCTCTCAACTGTCTACTCACATTGCTGTCAACTGTCTACTCACAGTACTGTCATCTGTCTACTCACAGTACTGTCATCTGTCTACTCACAGTACTGTCAACTGTCCACTAGAAGTGTTGCAACTGTTTCTACTGATAGTACTGGCAACTGTCTACTCACAGTATTGTCAACTGTTTCCACTGATATTACTGTCAACTGTTTCTACTGATAACACTGTCAACTGTCTACTCACTGTAATGTCAACTGTTTCTACTGATAGTACTGTCTACTCACAGTACTGTCAACTGTTTCTACTGATAGCACCGTCGTCTGTCAACTCACAGTACTGTCAACTGTTTCTACTGATAGTACTTTCAACTGTCTACTCACAGTATTGTCAACTGTTTCTACTAATATTACTGTCAACTGTTTCTACTGATAGCACTGTCTACTCACAGTACTGTCAACTGTTTCTACTGATAGCACCGTCGTCTGTCAACTCACAGTACTGTCAACTGTTTCTACTGATAAAACTGTCAACTGTCTACTCACAATATTGTCAACTGTTTCTACTGATATCACTGTCAACTGTTTCTACTGATAGCACTGTCTACTCACAGTACTGTCAACTGTTTCTACTGATAGCACCGTCGTCTGTCAACTCACAGTACTGTCAACTGTTTCTACTGATAAAACTGTCAACTGTCTACTCACAATATTGTCAACTGTTTCTACTGATATCACTGTCAACTGTTTCTACTGATAGCACTGTCAACTGTCTACTCACTGTAATGTCAACTGTTTCTACTGATAGTACTGTCTACTCACAGTACTGTCAACTGTTTCAACTGTCATGTTGGTGTCTGGTACAACAGTACTGTGTTGACGTCTAGGACAGCAGTGTCGTGTTGGTGTCTGGTACAACAGTACTGTTGATGTCTAGGACAGCAGTGTCATGTTGGTGTCTGGTACAACAGTACTGTGTTGATGTCAGGTACAACAGTACTGTGTTGATGTCTAGGACAGCAGTGTCATGTTGGTGTCTGGTACAACAGTACTGTGTTGATGTCTAGGACAGCAGTGTCATGCTGGTGTCTGGTACAACAGTACTGTGTTGATGTCTAGGACAGCAGTGTCATGTTGGTGTCTGGTACAACAGTACTGTGTTGACGTCTAGGACAGCAGTGTCATGTTGGTGTCTGGTACAACAGTACTGTGTTGACGTCTAGGACAGCAGTGTCATGTTGATGTCTGGTACAATAGTACTGTGTTGATGTCTAGGACAGCAGTGTCATGTTTGTGTCTGGTGTAACAGTACTGTGTTGATGTCTAGGACAGCAGTGTCATGTTGGTGTCTGGTGTAACAGTACTGTGTTGATGTCTAGGACAGCAGTGTCATGTTGATGTCTGGTACAACAGTACTGTGTTGATGTCTAGGACAGCAGTGTCATGTTGGTGTCTGGTGTAACAGTACTGTGTTGATGTCTAGGACAGCAGTGTCATGTTGGTGTCTGGTACAACAGTACTGTGTTGATGTCTAGGACAGCAGTGTCATGTTGGTGTCTGGTACAACAGTACTGTGTTGATGTCTAGGACAGCAGTGTCATGTTGATGTCTGGTACAACAGTACTGTGTTGATGTCTAGGACAGCAGTGTCATGTTGGTGTCTGGTGTAACAGTACGGTGTTGATGTCTAGGACAGCAATGTCATGTTGGTGTCTAGTACAACAGTACTGTGTTGATGTCAGACACCAATTGCTGTAAGGAAAGTGAGGTTTAAGTTCCGATACAATGCTCTTTGTTGACATATTTGGTGGTTGATTTCTTCATGGTGCAAAGAAAACAAAACCATTTTGAATATTAATTAATTTAATATACATTGTACATTCGGGTGGCCCCAGGGACGCCATGTTCCTCTCTAGTACTCCTGTCGATATTGTCAGGAATATCACGATAGGGGACATCGGGAATATGATGCCAATGTGGAGAATCGACCCTTGCCGTTTCGTGGACGAACGAAACGTTATCAACGTCTGTATACAACTCTCCACACATCTCACTTGTCCGATTTAACAACATGTATCGCCACCAGTTTTAAAGTAAAAATTGATTTACAAACGATGACATGTGATATGTCTATAGCCCGTTCTATTGAAGATGGGAAGAAAAGAGGTATTCACATGGAGACACCAAGGTATATTCACACTGTTGCTAGGCGACTGACTGTCTGTGTTAAGTCTTCTTCACTGTGGAAGATCTGCATGTGATCAATGACTAGGTTCACCATACTGGGACACCATACTGCATTGTGCCACCATCCGTGACGTCATGGAGTATGACGTCATCGGAGAAAATGTCATGACGTAATCGATTGTATTCCATTTGCAGTTGATGTGTTCTTATTCTGGCAGTACAGCCTACAGTGGTTCTGCAGAGTCGGCAGAGGTTCTGTGGTGACGTCATGGCGGCGTCATGGATTCGTTGGCATGGGAACCATGCTGACTGGTGTGTCGTCCGATGGTGAAGCGGACCAACTGGGGTGTGTGGAATCTGAAGGAAGTAAAATATGCATCGTTATAACTTTGTCTACTTGTGTCATCACAATATTGTTTGTTTGTTTGTTGTTTACGCCGCACTTAGCAATATTCCAGCTATATGATGGCGGTCTGTAAACAATCGAGTCTGGATCAGACAATCCAGTGATTGACATCATGAGCATCAACTACGCAATTGAGATACGATCACATGCATCAACCAAGTCAGCGAGCTTGACCACCGGATCCCGTTAGTCGCCTCTTACGACAAGCATAGTCGCTTTTAACGGCAATCATGGGTTGCTGAAGACCTATTCTACCCCGGATCTTCACGGGCCAATCACAATATTGACAAAAACATTCATTTTGAACACCAAGTTATCCCTGTTACGGAAATATCTCAAGCAGTCAAAATTCAAACACGCCTCGGTAGCTCGTATAATACGATCCTGTGGAGATTCCAGGGGCCGCGTTCCACAAAGCCATCGACACACTAGGACGATCGTAACTCCCATACTTTAACATAGACTGACGACAGTCGTAGTGCTACGATCGCTTTGTGGAACGGGGCCAGGTCAGACAAGCTCGCGAGTACGCCATGCTTGTCGCAAGAGCTGCCCCATATGGGAATCGGGCGTCAGATTCCGTGACCCTGCTGATTGCGTGTCATCGTCCCCCAACAGAGGGCGTTGCTTTCTTTTCATTCACTAGTTTTCCTGGTCCAGGCTCCATTATTTACAGGCTGCCACCACAAAGTAACAATATTTCTGATTGCGGCGTTAAAGAACATTCACACACTGAGTTATTATTTGACAATTGTTGAAATGGATGAAAGCTCCATTAGAAATGATAAGTGTCACGATATTGCTCAAATATTGCCGATGTGACGTTAAATATTAATTTACTCACTCACTGATAAGAGATGGATAGAGGGTATGAATAGTGTTTGATGATGTACCACTCTACCATTGTACCGGTGCACCATTGTACCGTTTGTTTGTTTGTTGTTTAACGCCGCACTCAGCAATATTCCAGCTATATGACGGCGGTCTGTAAAAAAATCGAGTCTGGACCAGACAATCCAGTGATTGACATCATGAGCATCGATCCACGCAATTGGGATCGATGACATGTATCAACCAAGTCAGCGAGCCTGACCACCCGATCCCGTTAGTCGCCTTTTACGACAAGCATAGTCGCCTTTTACGGCAAGTATGGGTTGCTGAAGACCTGTTCTACCCCAGAATCTTAACGGGTCCCATTGTACCGGAGCAAGCAATCATGAATATTTTGGAAATATTTTGGTAGCGAACACTGGCTATACAATTTCATAAAAATATCTCCAGAAATATTCATGCTCCCCAACTTGTTTTGTTCCGTATTTGTCAAAAGATGCAAGTACTGGTCTATATAACATACCTATGTGTGACTGAAGATGGATTTTAAGGTCAAACTGATGAGCGAATTCCTGCCCACACACTTTACAACCGAAGGGCTTCTCGCGCGCATGCGTGCGTCTCACGTGACTGTCATGGGCGGCGTGTGATGCGAATGCCTTGCCACAGAATTTACACTGCAAAGAAAAAAATGACTCATTAGTTTTGACGATTTGATTTTCATACCCATTGTCCTGATATAATCTAAGGCGCCGCGATTGGCTGTGCAGAGTTACGTCCCTTAAGCGTGCCAGTATCATGTGACCGGGGGTTCGAATCCTAGATTCTTCCTGATTATGAGTGGCGGTCGGGTAGCCTAGTGGTCAAAGCGTTCGCTTGTCACGCCGAAGAGCCGGGTTCAAATTCCCGACATGGGTACAATGTGTGAAGCCCATTTCTGGTGTCTCCCCCTGCCGTGATATTGCTGGAATATTGCTAAAAGCGGGGTAAAACCATATTAACTCACTCACTCACTCCTGATTATGATACTTGGTTTGTCCACACCATACCAGGGTCGTGGACATCACCAGCTGACACCAGCTCATATATGTAGAATATCTTTTCACAGACGCTCAACCTAACTCACTCACTCACTCAATCACAGAATAACATTATTGACATATTAGACTCATCTGGAATCAAGGTATCATTTGTCATCAGAACTTTTCAAAAGTTAGTTACGGCGCTCAACGGTGAGTTACGGCGCGTAGCATTGACCCTAACCTTAAATGGCCTTTCCCCGGAGTGTTGACGGATGTGCGTGCGCAGTATGCTTGAGGCTGTGAAGGACTTGCTGCAGTAGACACACTTGTACGGCCGCTCCCCGCTGTGAACCTGGAACACCCAAACTCAGCATAAACCAAATGATAATATCCCAATTGTGGCTATACGATTTCTACATGATGCCGATCCGTGAAGATCAGGGGTAGAATAGGTCTTGCTTGGCGTAATAGGCGACAATGCTTGTCGACTAACGGGATCGCCTAGTCAGGCTCGCTGACTTGGTTGATGCATGTCATCGTATCCGTATTGTCCAGACTCGATTATTTACAGATCGCAGTCATATAGCTTAATATTGCTGAGTGCGGCGTAAAACAACAAACAATTAAGCAAGCAACCATACACACTAGTGAAAACAAACAAACAAACGGGGGCCAACATATGAATATCTCACCCTCATGTGTTTGTTGAGACTTGAACTCTGACTGAAGCTCTTGCCGCACACAGCGCACTTGTGGGGGCGGTGCTTCTCGTGCACGTGCAGCACGTGGATCCGCAGACGATCACGCTTCTCAAACGATCTGGGAAAACAAAACACGGCGATCAGTACAGAACGAAGGTAGGGAAATCACATCGATATTGTCGGCGTGCGTGTTTTTGTGAGGGATCGGTCATTTAGATGCCCGGGGGTGGTGACCCTGTTTTGACCATGCATATATAGAATCCTACCCGGATTAATATTCGTAAACTTAGTACTACAATTGACCTCAGTGTCGTAGTACTGCTGTACTGACGCTGATAAAACCAGTACTATTTACACTGAGTAAATCCAACGTGCAGGAATTCTGTGTGAAATCGGTACCATTTACACTGGTTAAATATTCAACGTGCAGGAATTCTGCTTAAACCATTTTGCTGGAATTTTGAATTGTGACACCCCAACCCTCACCTCCACCCCCACCCCAGCACACCCAGCCACACCTCCATCCCACCAATATCAAATAGTCGGGTATAGACGAACAATGTCTGTGTTTTAGACCGGGCCTTGTATTTTCTCTTTCACCGCTTCAAGACATTAAAGTAGCTCTACACAGACGAGTAGAACAACTGTTTATCATGATTATTCAGCAAATATTTTTTGAATATTTTATACACTGAGCAAACAAGTTCGGAATCATGAAAATATTTTTGGATATTTTTATGAAATTGTGTCTCTTCAATGCAAAAAAATATCCCCCAAAATATTTATGATTCTTTCTTTGTTCTGTTCATGTACAAAAATCTGAGGCAAAATTATTTTTTTTCAGCATAGTCTTCAACATTACTTTTAAAAACCATCCCAAACCCCAATGAATATATATTACTCAAATGAAGTTAAGGAATACCCGATATGTATAGATAAAAAGATGAATGAGACGACAGATTAACAACAGTCCTACGAAAAAGTGCCATGCGTTCTTTAACATCTTTTGAGTAGTATAATAGTGTCGGTCCCTTATTTGAGACAGTCAGTGAGCGTTCATACCTGCTGCACAGGTGACAAGGGAACTTCCGGTCGCCCTGGTCCACGCACTTAGTGTACTTCAGATGCTTGTCTCGGTAATATTTGTAGGCGAATACTTTCCCGCACCGCTCGCACTGGTAGCCTTCAGTGTCTGGAAGGATAAACCATTTTATAAGTATTGGAAATAACGCCAACAACAAATATATTAACCATTCAGTGAGTGAGTATGGTTTTACGCCGCTTTTAGCAATATTCCAGCAAGGTCGCGGCGGGGGACACCAGGATTGGCCTTCACACATTGTTCCCCATGTCGGGAATCGAACCCGGGTCTTCGGCGTGACGTAGCAAACGCTTTAACCTCTAGGCTACTCCACCTCCCCCGTTTACCATGCAACGTACCAATAGCAATCAGATTTGCAACTAAGCAATCAGATTTGTCGCCATGTTGTTGTAGGAAGACATCGATCGATACCCAAAGGCTGGAAGATTTACATACGTAGCAATTGATTTTTTCCTTTTCAGCACACATTGGTGTTGTACAACCACTTAGGACTTGTGCAAAAAAACAAGTGACGCTAACAATGCCCCTATGACTTAAGCCTCGTTGGAATAAGCAGCCCTTTGAATGTGCGGGCGATGATCACCTTTAAGACCCAAATCGACAGGGCTGTGTAATTTGATATGACTTAAAACTGCCCCCCACTGTATTGCAAAGCGAACATATTTTTTATTCACTTTTATTACAAGCTGCAGAAAATCTGCACATGTACACGGCAACACTAACATCTCGTGCGCTATCTTGTCACTGGAATTTCAGGTCCATCGCTTGATTGTGTGGTGTGTCTACAGGCCGCCGTCGGATGGCAGGAGAACAGCTGTGGGCCGTCAAGTTACAAGTTTACTGTTATATGCAAACTGTGTGAGTCGCGGATGCTCCCGGTAGGCAGGGCATGCTTACCCTTTTCGCGAACACCTGGTGTCATTACTGAGTTCCAGGGATCAATTCATACAATTTTCACCGCTATTTTGCCTTTTACGCCCAATGAAATCTGTTTTGGCTCATTGGCTAATTGAGACTGGTTATTCTCAGGCATTGACGTTTTATATTCATTTATTCAATCACAACAGACTTGAATCCAGCAATAAGATGCCTCGAGTTGCTACACAAAATATACAGTAAACTACGGTTATAACGAACTCAAAGAGACCACTTATTTTAGTTCGTTATAACCGTAGTTCGTTATAAGCATATACACAGCATATATACAACAAATGGCCGGGACTAAAAATAAGTTCGTTATATCGGTCAGTTCGTTATAAGCGTGTTCGTTATAACCGTAGTTTACTGTATTTCAAAGAATATAAACGCACCTAAACGTAATTGATGAAGTCCAATTTATACATTCGTTGATTATACGAGTTGAATGACCGTATACACCTCTCGGGGCGTACAAGGAGGGCGTTAGCGCAGTCGGGTGAGTGAGTGAGTGAATTTGGTTTAAAGCCGCTTTGAGCTGTCTCAATATATAAAGGTAATAGGGTATGTACGTTCTAACAACCGCATACATGATAATTAGTTATACTCCACTACACTAGAACCATTATGTACTAAGAAAAGAAGAAGATGGCATGACAGATAAACTATAACAATATGAAATAATAGGTTGTCCCTAACTTCGTTTGAACAGTATATCTTAGAAACGTTAAAGCTTACGGTAAGCTGTGGTTCTTGATAACAGATTAACTAAACATCAAACTAAACACCCACCCTGTGTTCAATTGAATACGTTGTTAATCCGATTTAAAATCGGGTCTAATACATAACATTAATTGGTTCATACACATACCACAATATCGTACATGGTTACGTTAAAAGTAAGTGATTCGAATGCCGTTGCGAAAAACTACGCACCGCTTTAATGAGGATGACGTTTGACATTGAAGATTAATTATAAGCAAGGACAAGTTGAGAACATTCCAGACTATGGTGTTGTTTTCACGACCTCGCAAATTTCATTCTTTGGAAATCCCCGACACATAACCCCGACTTATCGTAATACTATAATAAATGTCATTCACAATAAAACCGTATCACGCCGCACTTTGTCTGCGTCTTTCCTCCATACCTCTCTAATGATGACCACTCAATCAGGTTGGGCAAGAATTACAATTGTATATACGTGGATTATCTCCCCTTGACGGCTCCCCGAGGACCTCGCCCCGTCTTCAAATTGGCCATTTCGATGTCTCAGTCAACACGGGTTCTCATTAGATTCGGACACGGAACTCAACTGTTAGGATTAGACCAGTTTATGGCACAACAAAAAATGACGTCCGTCAGATGCCTCCTTGCCTGGCTTATTAGAGAGAGCTTTACCTAAACCCTTCTCCACAAATGACGATAAACAGAACAATCCCGTGTGACCAGTGCGGTGCTTTGGATCGTACCCCGTTTTTTACGACTTGCCGTAAAACGGCGACATTTCCTGTTTCCATTGCTGAATTGCATTGTGCGGATTAGAGACATGCGAGTCAGACGGTATTCGATCTCACTTCAACACATGAGAGCTACAATTAACACGGCTATATAACACAAATAAAGCTCTTAAACCGAAATCTAAGCAAAAGGCCGAAATTGAGGCTCGTGTTACAAAAATGTGCATTGCATTTGAGAAGTGACGGTTTTTGCGCGCATGGGTTTATTCGGGGTGTTAATTATTGTTTTAGATCCTTCAAATTAGGCTCAGCTGTTCCACCAAAACAGTGTCGAAATTGTGGTTACTTTTATAAAAATAAAATTATTTAATATATATTATGTATCCTTGGGACACGCTCAGAAGACACTATACATAGTTTTAGTTGATAAATGGTCATTTTAAATAGAGCACAGCATTATTCTAGAGTGAGTGAGTGGAATGAGCTTAGCCAGACTCTTGGCAATATCCGACAACATCAGGCCAGCACGAGTCAAGGGTGGTCGTCACAGTTTGTACCACGTGTGGAATCGAACCTGAATCTGTGACCACGTGGCTACCCGAATTGCCAACAGCAGCGACGCTGCCTAACAGTTGCTAGGCTACGTGATCCGATGATCGATGGCTATTTTACCCCTATTCATTTTCACGATTATCACATTTTGTTGGGAGGTTTGGAAATTTTCCACAAAAAAAATCATTCTTTTCCCTATAGTTTTACAGACTATTCATCTTGGCATATTTTAGAACAAACTATTTAGAACATCTTCCCACGGCACGTTTTACAGAGTGAAGACAGCATTTTTTACACTGGAACAACGGAAGATAAAATCCTTGTGAAATATTGCTGCGTGTCAATAAATGAGTGTTTGTGTGTTTGTTTGTTTGCTTGCTTTTTAACGCGGCATTCGGTATTACTCCAGCCACGACGACGTGTAAATAATTGAGTCTGGATTAGACACACCAGCAGCAGTGACTGAGGTTATGAGCTCAGGGTACGATAACGCGAAAACCAGAATGTGACCGTGCCTGACTACCCGTTTATTGGGCTCACAAGCATTGGATACAAGAGACCTAGTTTAACCCCCGAATCCCCTCGGAAGTTCGTTCGTGAGCATAGTTCCTCGCCGTTGTCAGTATCTTTTCCGCTTCAGACCTGTGAAGATCAGGGGTAGAATAGGTCTTCAGCAACCCATGCCTGTCGTAAGAGGCGACTAACGGGATCGGGTGGTCAGGCTCACTGATTTGGTTGATGCATGTCATCGAAACCCATTTGCGTAGATCGATGCTCATGATGTTAATCACTGGATCCAGACTCAGTTATTTACTGACCGCCATCAGACTGCCTCTGTGGTCTAGTGGTAGAGCGTCCGACCGGAGAGCGGAAGGTCCGGGATTCGATCCCCGGCCGCGTCATACCAAAAGACGTTAAAATATGGTACTTGTTGTTACCCTGTCTGGCGCTCAGCATTAAGGGGCTAAAACAAGGAATGGTCGGCTCGCCGTCAGTATACTGTGTCTGAGTGGGGTATTCATGTTAAACTGCGGCATGGTATCTCAGTAAGCTAGCACTATAAATCGGCATCAGTCCGGACTAGTACAAGCAGCTACACATACACGTCCATGCACGTCGCTATACAAATGCAGTAATGTTGGACGCGACGTTAAACGCAATTTCACCTCACCTCACATCACTGACCACCATCATACGCATCATATTGCGGCGTTAAACAACAAACAAACAAACAAACAATTTACACATTGGTCTCCAGCTGGATATCGTTCCCGTCCTACTACTTCAAGATTACGCTACCCGCAGCCCCAATCTGCAGGCAATGGGTCGGAATTTGTCTTCAAATTGTAAAAAGTTAAGAGTTCACTCGTCACGCCGAGCACCCGGGTTCGATTCCCGACATGGGTACAATGTGTGAAGCCCATTTCTGGTGTTCCCCGCCGTGATATTGCTGGAATATTGTTAAAAGCGACCAAAAACCATACTCACTCAAATTGTAAAAATGATCAGTAAATTAAATCATAGAAAAATTATACATCAATTAGAAAATTACTTTCTATCTCTTTGGGTGTTTCCAGCGCCCCCTCGACGACTTCCTCCTTCATGGTGACGGGGATGCCCATGATCTGTACGTACATCTCTCCGTACCACACCAGCAGCTCGGCCCCAGGGCAGATGTCCCGCGTAGCCTCGTAGAACAGGTCATCGCCTTCCTGGACCACAAACAGGTTCTGCTCTCCTGCGTGACGTGCGCAGTTCACGTACGACATCCAGTTTCCGGCGGCGCCTCTTCCGTCAATGAAATGGCTCAGTCGTCCGTCTTTAAAAATCTGAGGATGTCAGATTAATTTATTATAACATGCATATTGTAACTGAAAACAAGATCCACACCGGGGGCTTATAAAAAAATCACAATTTTAAATCTTACCAAAAACAAGCAAACTTTGTACTTATTTAATTTGCTTTCTAACTGGTTAAGGAGTTAATAATAGCTCATATCAGATGTTTATTATATTTTTAGGAAATGGTATTCATCTCCAGTGTTATCACTTTCACACTATCTACAGTCGGTGGCGTGAAACATATACTGAACAAGAAAAGTTAGGGATCATGTGTATTTTTTAGGATATATTTTTGTAGTGACGATCCCACAATTTCCTAACGATATCCCTAAATATTCATGACCACTAACTTTTTTTATCAGTAAGTTGAATTATGCATCAGATCATCGTAATCAAATCGAAATTACGCTAAATCTTTTCTTAAATTTCGGATATTTACAACTGGTTAATATTATTCATACAAGAGATGTTATTGAAACGCTGAAAAGGAGGATATTTTCCGGCCTATTGTTGTTGAAATAAATAATTACGCCTTTGTTCTACACGTGAAAGAAACCCTGAGGTAAATCCCAACTGCCTGCCCCCAAAACGCATATGGCCAGAGTTTAAGAGCGTAGGCTTCATTGATGTTGCCAAGTTAACAAAATGGGCAAAAGAAAGTATACACTTGAAAATTGTATTTGACCAATCAAAACGTGACCACTCTGAAAACAGTTGCAGATACATTGCAAAACGTTAGGTCCAAAACACAACTATGATACCTGTATCAAATACGCCACCATGGAATAACCAGTTCTTGTTTGTTTCATTTTAGCCACCATCATACTTTCTTTTGCACGGCAGTTTTATCAATATCTGGAATCACTTTGAAGGAGCTGATTCGAACTTGATGGGAGGGAACCGAGAAAATACCCTATTCAATGTTACAACATATGAAATTTGGTATACACGCAATCATTGTTGAGAAATCAATAATATTGACTGCGTTACATATTATAAACGTGATGTCCGATTTCGGTCCATCCAAGTCTTTCTCTTGCAGTTCCTGATAACAATACAACACATGTACACTTGCCTCCCACATAAAACTGTTGCCGTCGAATGTCTTAATCTCGCTGGTGTTGACGACCTTGCCCTTGAATGGCCCGAACTTTGACCCCTTCTTGACCAAGTCCTTCCGGCAGAAGACCCCAAAGTGAGGTACTCCCCCGATATTCGTTTGGGATAGACATAGCTCTGCAAGAAATCAGGTGTCTATTGAAGCCGTGTGCAAACATGGGAGAACTTACATAGAATCTGGAGTAACATCCCTTTGTTACGCCAGAATCTTCTTATAGTGGGTTCGATTCACGGGTCGCCCCGATTATGTTTCTAGTTTTGACAGCACCTGCCCGTGCTCTGGGTTTCACCAAAGTGGTAAACGTCTGAGGCCTGCATCACCTTGGAACTTCCTCCCACATCAAGCTGACACGCCGTGATATAACTAGAATTCTGTTTAAAGCGGCGTTAAATCCAACTCACTCACTCACTAATATGACAGGAAAGCTCACATCAAACCATCACGCTTTGGTATGGTACTGATAAACCAAGAATCATAATCGGGGAGAATATGGGATTCGAACCAGCGCCCAGCGACCCCAATATATACTGGCGTTATTAAATGTGTTTACTTGAATGCAAAATGATAAAAAATATGTAAAAAAATAACTTACCTTGAGGAAGATCGTGAACCGGCGGATCTGACCTGTAACCTCTCCACCCAGTGAAGGGGACAGATGTGGTTAGCTCCCCTGATGTCGTCAACATCTTTTCCATGCCACCAAAACCTAGAAAATTAAATTATTTCAGTTATTTCATCTTGAACCGAAAAACTATTGAATTTTGTTTAAGTTGGCAGTCTTTATGTCACACGTGTTTGAATATAACTTATTATATCTTCCACTGAATGCTATGCTCACTATCCTAAACTGTTTCGATTCAAAGGCGTAGGTGGGCGAATGAAATTCCCGACTATGGAGAAATGAGAAAAATAAAGACAATATCCCGAAATATGAGGTCCGCACTAAGTTGGGATCAGTCAACAGTTGATGAGACGACACGTGAAGATCCGGGGTAGAATAGGTTCGCTGACTTGGTTGATGCATGTCATTGTAACCTAATTGCGTAGATCGATGCTCATGATGTCAATCACTGGATTGTCTGGTCCAGACGCGATTATTTACAGACCGCCGTCATTATAGCTGGAATATTGCTGAGTGCGGCGTTAAAGAACAAACCAACACTTAATGAGACCAAGCAATCTAAATTTTAGTCCTATCTTACAAAACCTTATGTTCATGAATTTATGAATATTACGTATTCTAAAAAGCTGATTTCATGAGTGTAATGCATAACGTCAGTGTACAAGGCTGGAATAGTGTTATACTTACAATACTTACTGTTCATCGCTCCAGACTTGATGCCACTAAGAGCATGCGAACACGGCACTGGTGCATTGTGGGCAGGCGTGTACCCGTAGAGAGCAAAGTCAAGGTCATCCTGTGTGAAGTAGAAGACGTTCTGCGGAGGCACGGGGGGACAGAGAAGGAGTCTGTTGGTGATGTCGGGGTGGAGTCGGGGGGACATCATGGGGGGCCTGATCGGGGGGAGGCAGGAGGCGAGGGTCTCGGGCCCTGTGACGTCACTGCGTGGGACCAATCTGCAACACAAAGAACCAAACATCCATATAATAAACTGTAGCACTCTCAATACACAATGCCATTTAGAAAGTGGTCAAATGTGACTAATGTTTTTTTTGGGATAACAATTTCTTAGTAAAGTACAGATTCTTGTACTTTTGGGGGTTGAGTCCCATCCAGGATTCGAACCTACACTGCCAGAGTGAGGCACCTAATAAGTCAGCGATCTAATCCACTGAGCCACCGAGGCACTAAAATGAAAGTCCGACATTTGATTGTCTCGATCACATACGTTGTGTACCCCTCTGACAAGTGTAAATTGGCACGGCTCCTATGGACGACAGCTAAAAAAGTGTTAGAATCTGTACTTTACTAAGAAAGTGTTATCACAAATATGTCATTTGTTAGTATCACTGTCATTGACCGAATTAGAAAAGCATATGTTACCATGAGCTACACACGGCTTTCATACAAAAGGGTTATCGAGTTTCAGAATTGCAACATGGTGTTTTCTCCTTTGACAGTTTGAAACTTGGCAACGTTAAAATAATCCTCGTTTTTCATGGTTTCATCTATACAATTGCTCAACATTTTTAAATCCAATTTTAGTCGTATTTTCGAAATAGTGCTAGAAACCGGCGTACAAAACCCGCATTCATTAAAAAATGTATAAGCATGATAAATATTAAGATATAAATGTTTAGAAACGGTTTCATGTAAAAATCCTTTTTTCAGACTTATTCAAATTTATCATTTCATCTAAAACAAAAAACAAAAACAACAACAGGTATTCATTTCAACAGTTTCTTAACCAAATTTCACGCTGGTATATAAGACGACAAGATTATCTAAAACGCTCCGTCCCATCTCCTGCCACCTTGTCGTGTTAAATTCTGCAGGTACACAGCTTAAAGCATCGCCTGATAACATCCATCACCGGATACAGCGTCCATCATTGATGAGTTATGAACCAGCTACAGTTCTTACTTCGACCCACAAGTAACAGTCACTCAGTCAGTCAGTCAGTCAGTCAGGGCGTTCTTATTTCACATTGCATCAGAAGTATTGCATTAGACAACCCCGCACTCAGCAATATTCAAGCTATATGACGGCGGTCTGTAAATAATCGAGTCGACCAGACAATCCAGTGATTGACATCATGAGCATCGATCTACTCAATTGGGATTCGATGACATGCATTACCCAGCCAATCCTGTTAGTCGCCTCTTACGACAAGCATAGTAACCTGTTACGGCAAGCATGGATTGCTGAAGACCTATTCTAAACCGGATCTTCACGGGTCCTTAACGGAGTGAGTGAGTTTGGTTCATGCATGTCCAAGTTATATCAGGTCGTGTCAGTTTCGTGTTGGAGAAAGTCCGAAGTGCTGCGAAGTTTAGTGCTGACCAACCTGCTGACCAACCTGCTGACCAACCTGCTGACAAACCTGCTGGCAAACCTGCTGACAAACCTGCTGACCAACCTGCTGACAAACCTGTTGACAAACCTGCTGACAAACCTGCTGACCAACCTGCTGACAAACCTGCTGACAAACCTGCTGGCAAACCTGCTGACAAACCTGCTGACCAACCTGCTGACAAACCTGCTGACAAACCTGGAAATATAACCCTGCCAGTACCCACGGTCATAAATGTCTTTCGCTGTGCGGAGTTGCGTCCCTTGGGCACGCCAGAAACCTATGATTGTGGGTTCGAATCCCGGTTCGGCCTGATTATGTTTCTAGGTTTGTCAGCACCATACCCGTGCTCGTGGGTTTCACCGAAGTGGTAAACGTCGGAGACCTGCATCACTTCGGGCTTTCCTCCCACATTAAGCTGACACGCCGTGATATAACTAGAATACTGTTAAAAGCGGCGTTAAACCCAACTCACTCACTCACTCATAAATGTCTACCTCGACTAAGGGACGCAACTCTGTACAGCTAATTGCGGCGCCTTAGACGACTGTGCCAGCCGCGCCCGAACAACTTAACATAACGACTTACATTCAGACCCTTGTCACAGAAACCTAATACAAGAAAAACTTTTCGAGCTTTAATTAAACATTTATTGATTCAACACTCTTTAGTCTCCTTCTTATTTTTAGAAAGTAATAAGCTATAATAGTGCCAACATGGTCCAAGTTTCACACATCCAAAACAATTCTTAATTTGAAGCAGGTATTGCTGCAACGTGTTCCATAAAGGAGTCAGTGCAATACACACGGCGTATAAATAACAATAAAGTATCACATACTTACATTGTATACTCTCGAAAAACAGAAAACCTTAAGCTTAAACTTTAATAACTATGAGTTCTGTGAATGAAGAAGTGTTTTAATTGTTAAATTTTCATGTAAAGGATAAAAAATACATCGCGGATCTCAACCATCCCCACACGATAACTATCACACCGTAACATTTAACATGCGTGTGGTATGCTCCTCGCTAACGATCAATATATATATATATGCAATGCATCCAGAGCAGTCCGAACCTCCTTTATCCGGACACCCCGACGTCCGGCCACTATGGTCGGATTGTCTGTATGTATTCAAAGGTCATTCCTCAGAAATAAAGACTCGTTTATCCGGACATTCATTCACCGAGACGTTGTCTTTAGGGGCGGCATCGTCCGGATTAACGAGGTTTCAAATTTGCAGATTTATCAATAGTTGGCTGAGCGGGTTAGATCGCTCGCTGACTTTGTGTGCCGGCGATTAAGTGCCTCACTCTGAGAGTGTGGGTTCGAATCCCGTCAAAGTACTAGAATTTGTAATTTAATAAGATATTGTGTTATCCGAAATATAACATTTGTTGACTCTTTAAACTGTCTGTACAATTAACAACGTATAATTGTTAAGACAGGCCTGGATAGCTTGTTGTATTTCGCACAATTATGTAAACAAACGGACAATGGGTTTCTCTTTCAGATTTGAGTACACATCTCATGGGAAATGACAATAACAATATTGTTTAATTCAACCTGTTTAAAGAACACAAACACGTCTTAACAAGCAAAATATTTAATTGTTTAAATTTTAATCTCATTGAATTATAAACTTTAGAAAGCTACGGTGTCAATCTTCAGGCTCATTTAATACTCCACGAGGTGTTTCTCGCCAGATACACACACACACACACACACACACACACACACACACACACACACACACACACACACACACACACACACACACACACACACATATATATATATGTAATCATATAAATGGTGAATGAGAACATGTTGAGTTTCTTTTGCCTATGAGCATATATCTTTACATCACCTGACTGCTGATTTGGACGATCTCATCAGACACCGGAGTATGGTGTGTGAGCAACAAAATCCATTCACATCACACCAGTATTAGACACATGGGACAAGTTGGTATTCTAAAGTATAATCCATTACCACCTGTGAATCTGAATATATCAGTAGAACTATGCGCCGTCAGTGTAACAGAGCCCCGTCAAACCAATGGAATGCACAAAGCGATGTGACATTGAGATTAATATTCCCACAGGGAATCAACTGCAAGTAAAACCGTGGTGAGATGGATAAGTTCCCGGATATCACGCCATCTTGCCACAAAATAGAAAGCCACGTGTAATGGTAGAACGTAGAGTCGGTGATCTTGTGAAAGTTTGATGGAGTTTAAACAACAAGGCGCCATCCAGGCTGCCATTTTGATATTCGATCTGGTTTTCTATTCTCGCTTCCACGCATGCCTGGCACGCGGACAAATATCTGATATCGGGTGATATCTTCAGTAGATATCACTGCCAATAGTTCCAAGATACGGGTAATCGGACCGTGCCACCCGTGAATCTTCGAACTTATTGTATCACACGAACGGACAAACGCTTAACTGACGATTGGAATTTCGAAGTGCAGTGTTGTTTAAATGAATAAGATAGAGAATCTGTGAAATGTGTGTGAGGGGGGTTCTCACAGAGAAAGTTACATGTTAAACACCGAGGGGATGTACGGTCGCGCATCACCACGTGACCCGGAAGCTGCAAGGGGGATGCTCCACTCCACTAACAATAACAGTGAGTGGGTGAGTGGGAATGGGTGAATGTTTGGTTGTTTGTTTGTTGTTTAACGCCGCACTCAGCAATATTCCATCCATATGACGGCGGTCTGTAAATAATCGAGTCTCATGAGCAGCGAGCCACGCAATTGGGATACGATGACATGCATCAACCAAGTCAGTGAGTCTGACCACCCGATCTTTTACGGCAAGCATGAGTTGCTGAAGACCTATTCTACCCCGGATCTTCAAGGGTCGAATGGGTGAGTGAGTGAGTGGGTAGGTGGTTGATTGAATGAATGAGATAAACACGGACATGTGATGAGATAAACACGGACACGTGATGAGATAAACACGGACACGTGATGAGCTAAATAAGGACACGTGATAAGATAAACACGGACATGTGATGAGATAAACACGGACACGTGATGAGATAAACACGGACACGTGATGAGCTAAATAAGGACACGTGATGAGATAAACACGGACATTTGGTGAGATAAACAAAGACACGTGATGAGATAAACACGGACATTTGATGAGATAAACAAGGACACGTGATGAGATAAACACGGACACGTGATGAGATAAACACGGACACGTGATGAGATGAACACGGACACGTGATGAGATAAACACGGACACGTGATGAGATAAACACGGACATTTGATGAAATAAACACGGACGCGTGATGAGATAAACACGGACATTTGATGAGATAAACAAAGACACGTGATGAGATAAACACGGACACGTGATGAGATAAACAAGGACACGTGATGAGATAAACAAGGACACGTGATGAGATAAATGAAGGACACGTGATGAGATAAACAAGGACATGTGACGAGATAAACAAGGACACGCGATGAGATAAGCACGGACATTTGATGAGATAAACAAGGACACGTGATGAGATAAACAAGGACACGTGATGAGATAAACACGGACACGTGATGAGATAAACAAGGACAGGTGATG